GGTTCCCTTTCCCTGCACTCGCTGCTCTGTCCCGGCCGTGGTGTGTTGGTGCTTGTCGCCTCAAGCAGCCTCCGCCCCCGCGTGCCCTGCCCGGTTGTCCATTCCAGGGTAGAAGTGTCACTGTTGCGGCTGTTTGTCTTTCCCTGACCTCTACGCGTCGCAGCTCCTCCCTTTCCTGAACTCTGCTTGCTTACGTGCCCTGTTGGGCTTGCTATGTGCCTGCAGCGCCCTTCCCTCCTCTTCCTCCCCTTCCCTCTCCCCCCTCCCCTCCCTCTCCTTCCCCTGTTTATCTCAGAACCACAGAATGGTTTGGGTTGGAAGGACCTTAAAGACCAGCTAGTTCCACCCCTCCCCACTATAGGTAGGGATGTCACCCCTGTTGGCTGTAATACACCAGGAGATAAGTTGTGAGCCAAGAAAGTTTTCCACGGAGTACACTGTGTTGCTCATCCCAGGAGTGGTAATAACTTTCCTGAGGGAGGAGAGGTGCAGAATGAGTCCCGACGGTTCACTCTGTTTCAGGAGACAAATATTCTCCATTTCTGGTCATTTAATGCTCTCAGGCAACAGGTGACGCGAATGTAAGTGTGATATGTCTCTATATATTCCAGAGAGAACAGAGTTCATCCACGCTGAAACAGGGAACAGGGTGCCCAGAGCAGCTGTGGCTGCTCCGTCCCTGAAGTGTTCCAGGCCAGGTTCGATGGGGTTGGAGCAGCCTGGGCTGGTGGGAGGTGTCCCTGCCCAGGGCAGGGGTGGGAATGGTTCATCTTTAAGGGCCTTCCAACCCCTCTGTGATTCTAGGAATTTCTTGACCATTCTCAGGCTTGGAAAACCTCATGAGGATTTTTGCTTTAAGGAGTGGTGATTCTGGTGAAATGCTTATATATTCTAGACAAATAACACTTTACAAGAATAAAAAATACGTATAGAGGGAGAAAGGCAAAAAGGCTGATTAATTCCGAGCGGTTTCTCCTTTCCTGTTCCCTGAATTTTGTATTTTGCCTTGTCAGTTTTGTCTGTGAGAGCCAAAATCATCTTGTTGAGCCTAATGTTTCCTCTCAGGTGAGCTCTCACCCCTCAGATGAGAAAGGTTAATTTGCATTGGGGATTGGCTTGTGGCAGCTGTGTCTTATTCTGACTCTAGGCTCTTGTTTTGAGCAGTTTCCCTTCATTTTGGGGGGTAATGAGGGGTGAGCAGTCTGACTCTGACCTTGTGTTTTCCAGTTGTCCGACAGCGTCATTGATCGGATGAAGGAACCTTCCTCGCCCAGTGGGAGACAGCACCGACCTGCAGGTACAGGTTTGCTCCTGGTTTTCTGCTCCTAATGAGAGGGAGAAAATCTAGTGTGTCTGCTGAGCCTGCAAGGAACTCATTGCCCTTTTGTGAAGATGATTTCCTTGACATTAAGTGGAGTTCGTGGCCTTTTAGAGGAGTTAAATTCCTCTTTGTTTTCTCCTGACACTAAAGTGTAAACCAAACTTTATTATTGGTTTTCTACAGTTTTATCCATTGTTAAAGATTAAAACAGCCCCAAAACAAGCTGATACTGAGATATCTTGAGTTCTGAAGTGGCAGTTGTTGTTTACTTAACACTGAGTTTGAGTCTCATGAGATTCGGTGGAAATACACTTGAGCAAACACTGAAGGAGTAGCATGCAATTTTCCTCTACTGGGATGGTGGAAATAAGTGACACAACAGCTTCCACAGGCCCAGGGCTTTCTTCACTTGTTCTGCTGCCTTACTGAAGCCTGTTGAGATGCATCAAACAGGCTTTGTGCCAAGGCAGCCACTGCTCTCCTGTGAAACACTTCAGCACAGTGTGAAGCAGCTGCTGGAGGAGAGAGAATGAAGGGCAGAGATAGGAGCCTGTGATTTGTCAGCTCTGTGAAACTTGGAAAGTTCAAGTAAGGCTCTTATCAGTGCTACAGAAATACTCATGATAACAGAGTTCCCTAAGGGCCTTTTGCCTTGATATTTAGAAAAGAGTCCCAGCAAAACTCAGCACTGATTAAAACCTAGTCGTGTGGCAGGTGTGGCCTTGCAGCAAGGCTTGGGTGAAGAGGATGGAGGATATTTCTTTCTGCTGAAGCACAGGGAGTTGTTTTCCTGTTGCTTAGCTGAAGGTGTAGTGTCTGTTTCAGAGAATCCCAGGATGGTTTGGGTTGGAAGGGACCTTAAAGGTCATCTAGTTCCAACCTCTGCCATGGACAGGGAATCTTCATTTTTTAAATACATTTACATAGTAATCCTTCCCTCAAGTGGCTGAATTTCACTCTAGTGAAGAGATTATTCTAGATAGGAGGATTGATGTGAAATAATAGCTGCACATCCTACCTGGTGTCACTGTGGTGTTTGCTTTTCATGCTTAAACCTGAGTTGTGGAAGTTTTGTGAGCAAGTGTCTGGAATTTTTGGGCTGTGGTGACTGGAGATGAAGTTGTTTTTCTTGTTTTTGTTTATTGAAAGGCTTGGAACAAGTCCAAGTTGGAGGGACACCAAGTTGATAAGGAGAATGGATGGAGCATCTCTCCCATGAGAAAGGGTGAGAGAACTGGGAGTGTTCAGCCAGGAGAGAAGCTTCAGTGGGAGGTGTCCCTGCCCATGGCAGGGGTGGAACTGTATGGTCTTTAAGGTCCTTCCAACCCAAACCATTCTGTGCCTCTAGGAATTTACTATTCTCAGGCTTGGAAAACCTAATGAGGCTTTTTGCTTTAAGAAGTAGTGATTTTGGTGAAATGCTTATATATTCTAGACAAATAACACTTTACAAGAATAAAGAAGATGTCTAGAGGGAGAAACATTAGAGCTGTTAAAACTAACCCTTCTTCAGGCCAAGTCTTTGATAGCTTTTGGTGGAGGAATAATGGATTAGGTTACATGAAAGAATGTGTATCTTGTTGCTTGCCAATAATGATGAATTTATCCACTGCAGTTTGGGGTGGGAAAATGAAATTACAACCACTTACACTGCAATCTGACATCCAAAGACAACATCCTAAAGCATCCAGGCTTGCTTGGATCATTTTCTGACTTCTGAGTAATATTAAATGCACTAAAATATTTAACAAGTGTAAAATCTTTAAAGTCTGTCTGTAATTCCTAAAGCAATATTGATGGGAAGCAATTTGGGCAGACAAGGGTTTTTTTTTTTCTTCCCCCTCTCTGAGTGTGTGTTGCACCTAAAGCTCAGCCCTAGCAGACAAAGGGAATGGGTTAATTCCCTTCAGCTTAGTGGATATTGGAAAAGCTAATAGTTGATTATGGAAAAAAAAGAACAAATGCTTAAATTAGAAGAGTCAGACAGCAATTTGTCCCCCTTTGAAGAAACAGATTAGAGTGAGGACTCAGAAGAGTTTCCTCTCTTTTTTTGGGCTGTGTGTGTTATTGTTAATCTTCTCCTGAGAACAAATCAGTCAAAGCTGTAAGTGTTGTGTAGGTGTGTAGTAAAATGAGCTTTGCTGGTGCCTCTTCAGAAACTGGGTTACATCTTCCATGTTTTCCTGCACTGATTTTTGTGGATTGATGTGTCTCTTTCTGCTGGTATCTGTCTTTTGGGGGAGTTGAAGCAGCTCAGGATATCTTGGCTCAGTCAGAAACATTCAGGGAAGTGTTGGGATGGACAGGAATGTGTGTGTGAAGAATTAAGTTCTAACTGGAGAAACAAGAGGCGATTTCTTCCTCTCTACTCTGCTCTGGTGAGATCCACCTGGAATACTGCACACAGCTCTGGTGTCCTCAGCATCAGAAGGACATGGAACTGGTGGAGCAAATCCAGAGGAGGCGACAAAGTTGCGAAGAGGATTGGAGCATCTCCCCTGTGAGGACAGGCTGAGGAACTTGGGGCTGTTGAGCCTGGAGAAGAGAAGGTTGTGTGGAGACCTCAGAGCAATTTCTCACTATCTGAAGGGCCTACAAGGGGCTGGAGAGGGACTCTGTGTTGGGAACTGCAGTGACAGGACAAGGGGTAATGGGTTCAAACTGAAGGAGGGAAAGTCTAGGTTGGATGTGAGAAAAAGTTTTTTATTCTAAGGGTGGTAAGACACTGTCCCAGGTTGCCCAGGTAGGCTGTGTCTGCCCCAACCCTGGCAGTGTTTCATTCCAGGTTGGATTAGCCTTGAGCAACCTGCTCTGGTGTGAGGTGTCCCTGCCCAGGGCAGGGGTTGGCACTGAGTGCTCTCTAAGCTCCATTCCAACCCCTAAATTCTATGATTAAAGGTGACCCTCAAAGTCCCTTCCAGACCAAACTATCCTGTGACTCCATGTGCTCACTCCTGCTCTCCTGTGCTTCTCTGCATTGCCACTTCGTTGTCATGGAGTTTCTTGGAGATAACTTTTATTTGCAGTGATGTGTATTGATATTCTTTGGGTGAAAGGTTCACTATTGATGGAGGGATTTTATTATCAAAAGGTGAAACGTCTTGTAACTCACTCGACTGCTAAAGATGCCAAACTCTTAGTGCTGTCAGTGTAACAGCAAATCTTTAGTGGAGCCTGACATTGCTGTCACTGGATTGCAGGAGTACAGGGAATCTGGAATTATGCATGGGAGGTGAAGCGAGTATTGCATAAATTAAATTTCTGCCTGTCTGTGTGACATGCAAAGTGTTCTGTGGGTGCTCTCAGGTGCTTGGGTATGTCCTTGTAAAGTGGTACTGAAATTAGGCTGAAAAACTAGCAAATTATGTTACTTGACTTTAATAAATAATTGTGAAAGAGAAAAGTGCTCCATCCCTGGGAGTGTTCCAACCCAGGCTGGATGGGGCTTGGAGCAGCCTGGGCTGGTGGGAGGTGTCTCGGCCCAGGGCAGGGGTGGAACTAGATGATCTCTAAGGTCCTTTCAGCCCAAACTGTTCTGTGATTCTGTGATTGTGCAGTTGAAAGGGCCAGTGCAGCAGAGTTGTCTCTTTCTCTGTCTCCCTTTCTCTCTCCCTCAGCTTCTTTCCTTATAATTAAATAATCCTCTTCATCTGTATGTGAAAAAGTGGCCCATGTGTGGGAGGTGTTTGAGGCTGGAATGGCAGTGGGTGATTCCCACCCTCCTCCTGCTATTGCTTTAATTGTTGTTACTTGATGCTGTAAGGGGAACTAAAATGAATTCTGAGGTTTGTGCAAATACAGGAATTAGGTTTTGGAGAGCCTTTGGGATTGAGTTGTGTTTTGTTTGTGGTTGGTTGTTTTTCCCTTACATGAGAGTGAGGGAGAAAGCCACTCCATCCCGTGGATATTGTCAGCTCTCAGAAGGACATTGGATTGACTTAAGTGTCTCTCATTTTAAAGCTGATGGAGAATTTGTGATATTCCAAATGAAATCTGAAGGAAGAGCAGGGGATGGGTCAGGTCCTTCTGTGCATAACTAACCAGGTCTCAGGCAGATTCCTCATGCTGACAGTCATCTTTTCCTGTCTCCTCCAAACGATTTTCCTTGTGTGGCTTTTTGCAGAGAAGCAGAATTTTATCTTTCGCTGAACCTTCATTTAGAAATGTCACTTTTTGTTTCGATCTATTCTTAGAAACAGGTAATTTTTATGTACCACATACCTTGTGCTTTTGGGTCTCTGGTGGATTTGGGGAAATTAAATTTCATGCTGTTGTGCTTAAGGCTTCATATGCTCAATTAGGGCTTACTGAGTGCAGACTTTGGCTCTGGAAATCTTTTGGAGTCGTCGTGTGGCACAGCTATAAAGCAATTTTTGTTGTAGCTGGTGTATAACAAGCAAATCCAAAGTATTTGCTTAGCAAAGCTTGTGAGTTAAATTAGAACCACTTTTTGATGCGGGAGCACAAGATTTGTGCATGCTAAAACATCTTCCAGTAGTTAGTGGGAAAATCATGTTGGAAAACAACTGTTGGAGGCTGTTGTGTGATTCTTGTATTAATTTCTAGGCAGCTGAGCTCAGAAAGCTGAAGGAACTCTAAAAACACAGAGCAAATTGAACCTGGGAAAGAGATTGGGCACAGTTCATGGAGCTCTTGCAAAACAGCATGGAATAATGAGCTTTAGGGACTAAATGTTTATGCATTTATGCATGGAATTGGTGCCATTGCATTTTAGTAGTTCCAAGTCCTGAATTGTGTGGAGTTCAATCCTGGCAAAGCTTTAGGCCTTTGAGCACAGACAGACAGATCCCAGCCTTGGGCTGAGCTTGCTGAGGATGCAGCCAGAGCTGATCCAGTGTTGATGAGCAGGGGATTTGTTGGGGGGGATTTTTTGTGTTTTGGGGTTTGGTTTTTTTTTTCATATTAATTAAAAACCTTCCTGGCAACTTGTTTTGGGTTTTATGTTAATTTTTTTC